AAGATCGCTCGTGGAATAGGGGGAGTAGGGCTACACGAGGGACACACAGCAGTGCCGTATAAAAATAAAAGAACTTTGCCAAATGTACCAGAAGGCAAAGGAGGCGAACAGCCATTCTAGTGCTGAACCCCACACATGCCAGTTCTACAACAAGCTGCATGCAATTCTCGGGGGTGACCCTACCAATACCCCTAAAAGCAACGTGGACACCTCACAGGTGTGAGACTCTAGAGACAACAGAGAGGACAATATGGTGGATGAGGAAGACAAGAAGGAAGAGAATGGGAGACAGGCAAGCGGTGGGTCCATTCTCCCTGACAGGCAGAAATATTTTTAAACTTTGGAGCCCTGTGGGTTGCAGAACATCACGGTGGCCGACCGTGATGCTGGGGAAGGCACCTCCTCTGGTGAGTATACAGCAAGGTGCTGTGGTTCTCTGCTTACAAGAGGCCGCTCCAGCTACGTGGAGAGTGGCCCCGGAAAAGACTGTTTATGTGGACTGGGATAGCCCGGGAATCCTCCATGGATATCTCTAGGAAACTTTCATGGAAGTACTCTGCAATCGTTTGCAGAAGGTTTCTGGGCAGGGCAGTCTTATTTCTTCCACCATGGTAGAACACTTTCCCATGCAACTCCTGAATTAATTCTGCTGGCATCATTGAAGTACACAGCATAAGGACCGTGTCTATACCCAGACACTTGCAGCATCTCCTTCCTTTCCGCTTCTGTTACCCTCAGGAGACAGATATCATATAGGGTCGCCTAGGGGAAATGGGGGAAGTTCTCATTAAAAGTGCTCTTACAAGGAAAAAAGACGGCATGTAGACCCAACCCCCCATATTCCGGATCGCCAAACCATGCGGCCACTAATCTGCCTTTACTGTGCTCAGCATGGGTTGGGGGTGGGGGGGAAAGCTACTCACCATGGCTGGAGCAGCAAAACGGCACAGTGAACAGTTACAGATTCTGATTACGTTATGGCTTGCACCTAGTGTAATGAGTTTTTTTGTTTTGTTTTATGAAAATGGCCTTGCTATGGAAATATTTTATTCATGTACAATGGCTCCTTTATTTTTTCCCCATGACTGACAGCTGGAAACGTGTGTGTCATCAACACCTGAAAGCAGACTTTCGGTGATTAGGAGGAGGAGAAAGAGAATGTGGGAGAACATGTTTACCGAGATAATGAACACCTCCGGTACAGCTGACAAAGAGCTGAGTTTGGTCTAGAAGATCTCAGCCAATCAAGATGCTCACCTTTCAGTTAGTTTACCTTTTTCCCCAACAGATGGCATTAGCATGTAGTAAGGTGAGCAACCACGAACTTTTAAGTAAGCTTGCTAACATATGACATCATATTAGCAACAAGTCATTTTCTGAGCACAAATAAGGTTTAGAGTTACTGGAACACAGCTCAGGTTCTAAAATATATTTTTGAGAACAAGGAGGTAGATGTACTGTATATCAGAGAAATGCCTAATCTTCCACAGCGGCAAGGTCATGCTCCTGCTGCCTTTTCCAGAGCACCAACAAACTGAAAAGGACACAATCTTTGTCAATGTCACATGGTTCCAGCTGAACAAACTATGTGCAGAGGAGAAAATTCAGGAGCCTCGGCCTCTAGAGGTGGGTGGGAAGGGGGGTAAAGGAGAGTGTTCTGAAAAGCAGTCAAGGAGAAAGAGGTAGGTAGAAGAATCCATTTTACTTCGCTCTCATCCATACAAGAGAAACCATAGCAAAAGGTACCAGTCACCAACAGTATTCAAATAAAGGCAGTGGGAAAGTAGCATAGGCCTAAAATTTCATGCTCAGTTTCAATGTAAAAAAAGAAAGGAGACAAATCAGATGAAACACAGCATAGAGCTGCCACTGTGGGCAAGCGACAGTACATTACTGATTCAATCTTGTTCTCCCTTGGTAAGCGCCAGCTACAAACATTACTTATCACAAACTAAAAAGGCTGACAGATAAATGGGGTCTGAGTGGGGAGAGAAGCCACAAGAAATGGGGCAAAATAGGATAAATTCCAAGTTGATGAAGGCAGAGAAGAAAAACTCAAAGAAGGGGAGAAAAAAAGAAGAGTGCTTAATTTAAAGGAGTACAGTGGTATCAAAGAACTCAGATATACTGTATATACTCGCTCATAAGCCGAATTTTTTTAGTAAAAAAGGGAAGCACCAGAAAAGGGAAGTCTGCTTATGAACGGGTATAGAGAGGGAGAGGTGGGACACAGCCCCTCCCCCCAAACAGAGGGAGCAAGGAGAGGCAGCACAGCCAGCAGAGACAGAAGGGAAGAGGCAGGGCCAGAGTGTGTCTGCTTCTGGCCATGCTGCTCTCCCCCCAGCCTCCGAAGCAGCTGCAGCTCTGGATCTGGCCCGCTGGAGCAGTTCCAGCCAGGCCAGAGACATCCTCCCCTGGCCCTCCCCAGATAAGGTGGGAAGGGATGGGATGGGGAGAGGGTGGGAGTCCCGGAGGGGTGGTCACAGGGGTTACTCGCCTGACTCCCAGAACCCTAGAAGCAGTGTGTGTCAATACTGTTGACCCACAGAGCACTGATGTGGACATCTACACACTCAGGTACAAAGTACTTTAATATCTTACAGTGAACTTTCACTATAGCCAGAGCTGGACGCGTAAGGAAATGCAAAGCAACCAGCGGAAAAATGCGAAGAGGCTTCAAAATTACCTCAGCTTACATAAAAGTCCTGGATAGAGGTCCTGCATGACTAAAAATACTAATTGGAAACTGAGTAATTTTAGGAACAGGGATAGGTGTGGCTGTGATGCCTATGGGAGCAAGCCTTTATAAGCCCCCTTCTCATGCATCACTAAATCTCTATTGGAGAAACTACCTCAATTTTGCTCATAGAAGATATGCTTCTATGATTGGATGGTTCTGTCTATACATCTTCTCAGCTCCAAAGAGCAGGAAGCAGTGGAATGATCTGAAGAGATCTAAGCACCGTTTGGTAGTCTAGACTTATTTCGAGGCTCCTTCAAACCGGAATGCTTCAAGGTAATGTCCCAACACCCAGCAGAGTTCCTAAAGAACAAATCTCCTATGCTCAATGGAAAAGATTTCTAGGGCTCACAGTGGCTAATGGGACAGTAGCCCCTCTCAGATCATGATGGCTCAAAGTGACATCCTCAAGTAGATCACAGTTATGACCCTCCTGAGGTACAGAACACTCATTAAGATTGCTTGTTAGGGTTGGAGGATCCTTTTGTAGCGGTTGGGATACAGTTTGAAGCTCTTAGGGAGAGTTTCTGACATCCTAACTCAACATACAAATTTTAAAATTTACCTCCCGCTCCAAATCTAATCCCCAATAAGAATGGTATGGTGAATCAGATATTTGCATGCTTTCATATGTTGAAAGTGCACTCTGAACTCCACAGCACCCCAAGTCTACACATAAAATGAAAACAGACAATACACCTCTATAAAGAACCCCATAGAAGTTGCTATCCACACAGAGCTTTAGGGCACTCCAGTTCCAATGAGGCCAAGAGTCAGTCTCCTAGGAGAAGTGTTAGTTAACTACACATTTTCTACTGGAGATGCTGGTCCACCTGTAATGGCCCATAGCAGGTGCTGCACAAACATTTTCACTCATCTGAAGTAGAGGATTAAGATTTACTTGCTTACTAGTTAAGCAGACGACTATTGTTGGGGAAAATATGCTGACAATTTTTATACCCACTACTAATTTTTTAGAGAGCTTGAGCTAAAAGTTATTTGAATGAATAATGAATGAGCACTCAGCAGTCCCAATCAGAACGGGGGGTGGGTGGGACGGCTATTGTGCTGAGAGCTCCACAACCATATAGTAAGAGAATGCCTCTAAACCACAAAGAGTTTATTTGCATATCAAGTCACACACTCATGCCTTGTGTACACTAGGAAATAAATCTCTTGCTTTCACTGGCTGTCAACTATCAGTCTCTCTGAACTGGTGCTGACAACAAGAGTAGATAGCACAAAGATGTTCTCAGTACTATTACAGAATGTGTAAGGTGAGCAATCACGAACTTTTAAGTAAGCTTGCTAACATATGGCATCATGATGCAATCAAAAAGGTAGACTATTGTCTACATCAGGGCATTCTTGCTGAAAAAATCTGAAAAAAATTGAACCGTAGTCAAATAATAGGTGGTCAGCTGAGATTATTTGACTATTTGCAGTGTTGTTGTAGCTATGTTGGTACCAGGACATCAGAGACCGGAAGAAGAGGCATAGCTTGAAAGTTTGTCTCTTTCACCAACAGAAGTTGGTCCAGATAAAAGACACCACGCTCACCTACCTTGTTTCTCTATTATTTGACAGGTCAATTGACCAGGTTGCCAAGCCAACACCTAAGTGACTTGGTCACATTTGAAAACTCCACCCTCAGTACTTTCAGTTGCATGAATGATATTTTGAATTAAAACATAAATGCAACAGACACAAAAGAAGTTTGATTCACTTAATGAAAGTTCTTTACTGAGGACAAGTGACATGCATAATTCAATGTTTCAAGATTTAGGCATTTGAGTTCCACGCATAAGCAATTTTTTCTTAAATTTCCTTAAGTAAAAATGTTTTCAGGCCTCTTATGCAACAAAATTAGCTAAATTTCTCAACAGCCTGAGACTAAATATAGAAGTTTCTGCCCAAAAGGAAACTAGTTGGAAAAGTTATGGACAATCGAAAAAGAGAAACTTATATGAAACTTCTATTTGTAACCTTAAGAATGTGCACGGTATTCAAGCAACAGGTCTAACACCAGTGCAGATTTGCTTATACTGTCCCTCAAAAGAATGCCTCAATCCAGAACTGGATAAGAACTACCTGTATTGATTTTGTGTGTGACAGGTTTCTGAAATAGAACAGCTCATCATAGAAACCATCAATCACCACAAGAAGCAATCGCCAGACAGAGCCATCCAGATGTTCTTTGCAAATTATTAAAAAGATATGGAAATGTTCCCATCAAGGTTTCTAATACTAAAGAACTTACTGTGCGATTCCTGATGTACAGAAACACTTTCTGAGTCTGCTGCGGGCCACTGATGATGTCTGGAAAACAAGCAGCTTCTTGAGAGGTCATACGATCATGCGGAAGTCTACTCTGGAAAGCTGCACCCTCCACACCTACACACACAAAAAATAAAAAATAAAAAAAAACAAAAAAGGGGTGTCTAACAAGTATTCCAAAAGCAACTGATATGTCAGTGTTTTTACTAAAAAGCTATCCCCTCCTGGTCAAGACACCTTGAATATCCATATTTAATGATGTGCCAACTGGTTTTGTCTTACACTTCCACCAGCTTCTTTTGTCTATTTCTGCAAGCCAAAAATATCTCAGCCAGTGCTTTGAGTTACAGATCAAAATTGGGCACCAGCACTAGCACTACTACAAAAGAACACAGGATTTAGAAAACAAGCAACAAGTAAAAGTGAGGAGATAAAAAGATATGAAAAGAAAACTAAACTGTTTATCCGTAAGAAATAACTGGTTTAGATCTCTCACTCTCTCTCTCAAAGCTCCACAAACCTTCAGGAGACTCCTCCTAAGCCAAGAGGGCTGTAAACCACAAAGAGGACAATGTATAGGTTCCTCACATCTGCTCTCCAGCTTCCAAGGGTTTGTCTAGATTAACACTGACAAACACTGGCTTCTTTTCCTAAATCTAGAGAAACCCACAGTCCATCCCTTTAGCCTAACCAGCATACCCATAATGTATACAGCAGTGGAGTGTAGATACATGCAAGAGACTGCTATATTTTCCTGAGTGAAATAAAGGAAAGGAATTTTATCTTTTCCTAGATAATGCAATGCTTAAAGTCTACTGCTGGACACAAACTAGGAGTCATGTCTATATGCAAAGATGGTGTCCAATTAAGGCACTTGAACATTTAGCATTTTTGGAACAAATGGAAATCACAGTTTACAGAAAACTGCAAGAACAATAGTATTAGCTAGACCGTAATCCTTAAATTACAGCAGAACACAGAAACTAACTACACACAAGTCACAAAAAAAGTGCACAAAAACAGACATTTCTGCATAAAAGGAAAGGGCACTTCTGGGCTTCACTTTAAAGGTACATCTTACAGGCACAAAAAGCAAGACAAAAAAATACATTGAGAGGCAAATGTCAGTGAGGTCAATTTTAAAATACTAGGTGACCTCGGAAGGTTAGAAATATAAACAGAAAAAAAGCTAAACTGGAAAAATACAAGCGAATATATCCAAGGGAAAAATGCCAAAACACAAATAATGAAATGAGACTGAGATGAACAATTCCAGTATCAATATTCACTAAGAGATGGTGGAAGGCATCAAATAAGATAGAACTTTGCAGTGTGTTATGGAAACAAAAACATCTGTATGATTTTAGGTTGGATGGGCAGAGGCACCATGTTACAGAATGGGAAGGTGGTGGGAGGGAAATTATCCTCTTTCTGCAGGTCTGGTGAAACTATTCTGAGCATTTTTATACCATAAAGATGAAGACCAATTTGAAGGAACTTAAAGAAAATTAAGGGGCTGAAGAGCGATTTATGAGGAAAGATTAAAAGAGCTAACTATGAATAGCTTGACTGCATGACAACCAAGAGTGAAGACAACTGACTAATAATTGGCAGGATCTAAACACCACAGAGGCATAAAACTGTGGAGCGTGGACAAAGGGGATTACTTAGTAGCATAAACTGAAAATAAAAACTGGAAAAACTAGGTTGAATATCAAGTAAGATTTCCTGACAGCAATATCTATTAGGCTATTGAAAAAAAAATCTCCTATTGTAGAGGGTAGAAGATCAATTCCTTGGGTAATAAGTGTTCACTAGCCCAGAGGATGGGCTACTCTATAGCTATTTTCCATCCGTCTATAAATCTGAGATTCACTGTGCAAGTATGCATGTATAGTAAAAGTACCCTACATATACTGTCAAGTGAACCAACCTGAAGCTATCCATCACCCCCTGCACTACCTTTAACAGAACTGACTACCAGAGATTAAGTGCCCATAACACCAAGTAATAGTGAAAAAAAAGGTCTTAAAACATGTCTCAGAGACAAACTGAACAAATGCCAAACATGCTGACTAGACTGTTTTAGGAGTTTTTACTGGAAACAAAGGGACTGACCAGAGACTTTTTCTGAAAGAACACACCACCAAGCATGTTGTCCAAACAACTAATGCAAAACTCCCAATAAAACCTTTGGAAAGAATCTAGATAAAACCAAATCTCCTTTCCACTGAATATGGCACAGTCAGCAGAGTTTGTGTTTCACCAGTTTTGAGAGACAAAGCTCCCGCAGCTATAAAGTACCTTAAAAAGAAAATCTTCAGTTCCTACAGAAGGATTTAAAAGGATGGTCCAAGCAGGTTTTTTTCCCTAAGGCCATGTTCACATCTCATGAGACTATAGGCTTTAAATTAAAAGGTCACAGAAACAAGTTGTCTTTGATAAGCTTTCATAATTAAAGGCTGAGCAGAAATCTTTACTTTTATCTTGTTTGTGAACTAAGATGGTTACTGAGGAAACAGACCTGAAGATCAGAATGGAATAGGTGTAAAATATAATCCACAGACAACAGCAAAATATTTTAATATGGCTCACCAGCCAGAAGAGCTCACTTAAAACCAAACACCCTTCTAGTGGATTTCTTGCAATTGAGCAGGCTAAATTTAGATCACCTTCAGGTAGGTTAAACTATTCCCCCTCTACTCTTACATGAACCATGCTTTATGAAAAATCTCAACAAGGAATGGAAGAGTCTCATCCTGGAGGATTCACACACATTTGTCTTTGACAGTTTTTCTGTGCATCTCTATGATTAAGGTGGTTCACCACCACAGATTCTCCTTTACTCCTCTCTCTTTTACAAACACACACAGATTTATTACTTCCTGACTACAGTACCAACCATTCATGAATATTTAACCCAACCTGCATTTTGGTATTCTCCTTCCTCACAGGACACATCTCAAAAGGATTTTGTTGGCCACTGCTCCATCAAAAAAAGAAAGAAAGAAATAAAAAATCCACACCACACGCCTTGGTGGGACATTTTCAGATGAAAAACTCCTTCAGTACTTAAAGCAACACATTCTGCTCTCTTGACCATTTCCAGGAAGTAGTAATCATTAATTCATCCATCCAAGTGGGTAAAGCACACTCCCAGAAACAGTTTGATACTGATGTAACATGTATAATTTGCAAAATGCAGAGTCAAAAAGTCCAGGGCAAAAAAGCACTATGTCCCCTCCGTAAGTCTGAAAATATTTAAAAAGGGATCTCTATATGTGCTGATACCAAGGTCCAAAACATAATCAGGCTCCTTCATTTAGAACGGGTGAGGGTGAACCCCTGCGATACCTTGAATTTTGTATTTGTTTCAAAGAGGTTTATTTCTTCACGGTCTAGAATGGAACTCATAACTACTTTGATTAAAACCCCATGCCTGACTCCTCAGGTGCCACAGGCATATAGTGGCATGGTTTGAGGAAGATGAACATTTTGGTAGCATTCTGACAGTACTTAAAAATAAAGAAAGCAATTGGTGGGGATTACAAGCTAAATGCATTCCCCTTTATATCGATACTTCAGATCAAATGTTGGCTCGAATTCATGAGCCAGTCTATTAAAAAGTGGACTAACCTACCCCATAGGCAAGTCTTCTGTGCCAAATGCTGGGAAATTGCTCATGAACTCAATCCTTTCAAAAATATATGGGCTTCAAGTGTATTAGAAAAGGGCCTAGCACACTGAAGCCTGGAGCTCAGTACCATTCTAATGTGTAAAAGCTGACTAAGCAGGAAGTACCCTTTCCCATGTTTGGTCTCCTCTGAACATGGAGAGGAGTGGAGGGATGAGAGATCGGCCTGAGGGATTTCAGTGTAGTTTTACTTTCCATTTACTTAGTCACTAGAGCCTTCAACTGCAATTAGAAGAGATTCCTCCCTTTCTCAAAGAGTAAATGTCTCCTATACCTCTTGCTAAGGTCTGAACACCCACACCCATGCGCACTTGCAAGCATCAATCCCTCATTTGGCGGCTCTTGCTATTAAGTGGCAAGCATCAAACGCCACCCTCACCTGATGCTTGGCCGTCTCCATACCCTCCAGAATTGTCGTCTTGAAGTCCTCCTGCTTGCCCTGTGGAAGGAAAGAGGAGAACTCAGGGACCTTACTCCATAAGTTAAAATCATATTTGGACATAAAGGCCTGGCAGTTGGCGATTTAAGTATTAAATTTCACCAACTAACTAAACACATTTTCTGAGAATTCCATCTTTTGGAATATAGGTCCAGGGCACCAAACTTTGTAGTCTTCTAAAGTTTTATCCTTGTTATTGGAACTCTTTAAATCACTCTTGTGGGAAAGGTAGAAGCACACAGTATGTAGCATTCCTGGTGGCTAAATACTTATGATCAGCTTTATTAATAGCTGGGAGTGGAATAAGATTACACTTCTTACTACCAGTTTGAAGATTGGTTGGATGGGTACATTGAGAGCCTAGGGGTCTAAAACTGCAAGAATTTGATAATCTTTCCCTGGATATCCCTGCACTCACCAACTGAAATGGGATAGAGGGAACCATTCTGAAAAGCATCTATTATTTTCAAGAGAGCCTCTTCCTTCTCTTCCATAAACCTTTCCTTGAAGCACGAACTGTGCAAGGTTCAGACCAACAATATCTGCTTCAATGCTCTTGGTGTACCTACAATCCATTAGAACCCTAGAAGCAGAGTGTGTCAATACTGTTGACCCACAGAGCACTGATGTGGACATCTACACACTCAGGTACAAAGTACTTTAATATCTTACAGTGAACTTTCACTATAGCCAGAGCTGGACGCGTAAGGAAATGCAAAGCAACCAGCGGAAAGATGCGAAGAGGCTTCAAAATTACCTCAGCTTACATAAAAGTCGTGGATAGAGGTCCTGCATGAATAAAAATATTAATTGGAAACTGAGTAATTTTAGGAACAGGGATAGGTGTGGCTGTGATGCCTATGGGAGCAAGCCTTTATAAGCCCCCTTCTCATGCATCACTAAATCTCTATTGGAGAAATTACCTCAATTTTGCTCATAGAAGATATGCTTCTATGATTGGATGGTTCTGTCTATACATCTTCTCAGCTCCAAAGAGCAGGAAGTAGTGGAATGATCTGAAGATATCTAAGCACCGTTTGGTAGTCTAGACTTATTTTGAGGCTCCTTCAAACCGGAATGCTTCAAGGTAATGTCCCAACACCCAGCAGAGTTCCTAAAGAACAAATCTCCTATGCTCAATGGAAAAGATTTCTAGGGCTCACAGTGACCAATGGGACAGTAGCCCCTCTCAGATCATGATGGCTCAAAGTGACATTCTCAAGTAGATCACAGTTATGACCCTCCTGAGGTACAGAACACTCATTAAGATTGCTTGTTAGGGTTGGAGGATCGTTTTGTAGCGGTTGGGACACAGTTTGAAGCTCTTAGGGAGAGTTTCTGACATCCTAACTCAACATACAAATTTTAAAATTTACCTCCTGCTCCAAATCTAATCCCCAATAAGAATGGTATGGTGAATCAGATATTTGCATGCTTTCATATGTTGAAAGTGCACTCTGAACTCCACAGCACCCCAAGTCTACACATAAAATGAAAACAGACAATAGGAAACAGACCAGAAGGGAAATCTGAACAATACAACTCTATAAAGAACCCCATAGAAGTTGCTATCCACACAGAGCTTTAGGGCACTCCAGTTCCAATGAAGCCAAGAGTCAGTAACCTAGGAGAAGTGTTAGTTAACTACACATTTTCTACTGGAGATGCTGGTCCACCTGTAATGGCCCATAGCAGGTGCTGCACAAACATTTTTCACTCATCTGAAGTAGAGGATTAAGATTTACTTGCTTACTAGTTAAGCAGACAACTATTGTTGGGGAAAATCTGCTGACAATTTTTATACCCACTACTAATTTTTTAGAGAGCTTGAGCTAAAAGTTATTTGAATGAATAATGATTGAGCACTCAGCAGTCCCAATCGGGGGAGGGGAGGGGTGCTATTGTGCTCAGAGCTCCACAACCATATAGTAAGAGAATGTCTCTAAACCACAAAGAGTTTATTTGCATATCAAGTCACACACTCATGCCTTGTGTACACTAGGAAATAAATCTCTTGCTTTCACTGGCTGTCAATTATCAGTCTCTCTGAACTGGTGCTGACAAGAGTAGATAGCACAAAGATGTTCTCAATACTATTACAGAATGTGTGATGCTTTGTATTTACACTTACAACAGTCAAATGTTTTCAATACCAGTTCAGAGAGACCTACTACTGACTTGTACTGTTAGCAACAAGTCATTTTCTGAGCACAAATAAGGTTTAGAGTTACTGGAACACAGCTCAGGTTTTAAAATTTATTTTTGAGAACAAGGAGGTAGATGTACTGTATATCAGAGAAATGCCTAATCTTCCACAGCGGCAAGGTCATGCTCCTGCTGCCTTTTCCAGAGCACCAACAAACTGAAAAGGACACAATCTTTGTCAATGTCACATGGTTCCAGCTGAACAAACTATGTGCAGAGGAGAAAATTCAGGAGCCTCGGCCTCTAGAGGTGGATGGGAAGGGGGGTAAAGGAGAGTGTTCTGAAAAGCAGTCAAGGAGAAAGAGGTAGGTAGAAGAATCCATTTTACTTCGCTCTCATCCATACAAGAGAAACAATAGCAAAAGGTACCAGTCACCAACAGTACTCAAAAAAAGGCAGTGGGAAAGTAGCATAGGAGGCCTAAAATTTCATGCTCAGTTTCAATGTAAAAAAGAAAGGAGACAAATCAGATGAGACACAGCATAGAGCTGCCACTGTGGGAAAGCGACAGTACATTACTGATTCAGTCTTGTTCTCCCTTGGTAAGTGCCAGCTACAAACATTACTTATCACAAACTAAAAAGGCTGACAGACAAATGGGGTCTGAGTGGGGAGAGAAGCCACAAGAAACAGGGCAAAATAGGATAAATTCCAAGTTGATGAAGTCAGAGAAGAAAAACTCAAAGGAGGGGAGAAAAAAAGAAGGTTGCTTAATTTAAAGGAGTACAGTGGTATCAAAGAACTCAGATATACTATATATACTGGTTCATAAGCCGAATTTTTTTAGTAAAAAAAGAGAAGCACCAGAGAAGGGAAGTCGGCTTATGAACGGGTATAGAGAGGGAGAGGTGGGACACAGCCCCTCCCCCCAACAGAGGGAGCAAGGAGAGGCAGTACAGCCAGCAGAGACAGAAGGGAAGAGGCAGGGCTAGAGTGTCTCTGCTTCTGTCCACGCTGCTCTCCCCACAGCCTCCGAAGCAGCTGCATCTCCGGGGCTGGCAGGCTGCGGCCGTGCCGCCCGGTCTAGCCTGCCAGAGCAGTTCCAGCCAGGCCAGAGACATCCTCCCCTGGCCCTCCCCAGATAAAGTGGGAAGGGATGGGGCAGGGGTCATGTGGGGGGTGGTCACAGGGGCTACTCCCCTGACTCCCAGCTTCTCCCCCCAAAAAAGTTTCCCCACCAGTTGCTGTCCTGGCCCAGGACACTTTGTGTACTTAGGTTTACCTCCGTGCCTGTGGACGCTCAAGGTAAACAAACCATCTCAGCCCCCCAGCAGCTTATCCTGATGACCCGAGAGCCAAAGTTCACTGACTCCTGAATTATAGGGTCGGCTTATGAACGGGTTATAAAAATTTTCCATTTTTATTTATCTATCTTGGGGAGGGGGGGCGTCGGCTTATAAACGGACCGGCTTATGATCGAGTATATACGGTAATTTAACAGACAATTAGATTGCCAACAGAAAAACCTATAAAACCTCCCTCTACTCTTTTCAACTGTGCTGGTTCCCCTACCTTGGAGAAATGTGAAATTAAGCTTCTAATACAATACTTTAAAAGTTACTTTAATTATTAAATATCCCTCTGAAAGCTGTTTTATAATACTGAGGGTCTTCTTTGTTAAAGCTTGCAATTCCAAAATGCTCTACTGGTCCAGCTATATCAGAACATCTGAAAATTGTCCCCAAACAGCACACCCATCACATCCTAAACAAGGCCCAGAGCTTTGCTACCTTCTAAACTGTGTTACCACAGGGTGGAGGACACTGTTATAGTAAACAAATAGCTAGGTTGCAAAATAGTTTTCATTGTTAAATGAAAAGCTAATGAATGTTAAGGTTACAAAATTTACAATTTGTTAAGAAATGCAAACTGTTCTTACAGCAAGATCAACTTGTCCACTTCATACCTATTTTACTTTCTAGTCCTCTTTTCTTGGTTACACACATCGGTTAACATTTGTTTATAATACAAAGAATAATAAAACAGATCATGCAATGCAGCCAAGTTAATAGTGATGCAGAAACTAGATTCTGCATTTTCTGGTTTTTTAATTTTAGCTGCGCAATGCTAATTTACCATTACTGTACTTGCTGCCTTTAATTTCCTTATAAGCTTTTTATTCCTAACATAATATTCTTAATTAAGCTTTAAATTTCATGCTTCATTGAGGTGAATGGGATGAGACATGTCACCATAGTGAGTAAATCTATATTAAAAAAAGCTATCAATGAAATGTGGAATAGATTTCCTGAGTTTGCTGCTAGTATTGTTTGGATGAAGAGTTTTCAGCAAGTCTACGCTTACAGCACAGCAGCAAATGTTTTCATTTTTTATGTTTGCTGTATCCTAACAACTAAAAAGACAGACTAACATGCTCACCAAAATGCATAATTAGGCACATTTTACAAATATAAGAGCGAAAAAGGCTAGAGACTGGCTATGGGAAGAAGCTCTTCGAGTTACAGTCTTTTTTCACAAGCTCGGCATGTGCCAATATTTTTTGCATGTTCCAAAGGCAGCTAATACAACAAAGATAGGACAAAACTGCCTGGAATGTAGCACGTTTTAAAAACAAGATACAGTAACTCCTCACTTAAAGTCATCCGGGTTAACGTTGTTTCCTTGCTGATCAATTAGAGAACATGCTTGTTTAAAGTTGCGCAATGCTCCCTTATAACATTGTTTGGCAGCTACCTGCTTTGTCCACTGCTTGCAGAAAGAGCAACTCGATGGAGCTAGCTGGTGGGGGCTTGGAACCAAGGGTGGACCAGCAGCCCCCCCATCAGTCCCCCGCTCCCTTAAGTTCCCTGTGCAGCAGCCACCCAGCAGGCTATGAATTGCCAGGCAGTTCAGCAGTCCCTCCCCAGACTGCTGTGTGCTGCTCCTGCCCTCTGCCTTGGAGCTGCTCCCGGAAGCCTACTTACTGTGCTGGGGAGGAAGGGGTGCTAATGTCAGGGTGTCCCCCTCCCCCCAGCTCCTGTACCCCCATCTCCACAGAGCAGGGGGGACACGACAGGGCTCAGGACAGAGGGAGTTTGCTGGCAGCAGCTGCTGTCTCAACTTGCTGATCTACTTAAAAAGGCAGTGTACTTATAGTGGAGTCAGCATACTTAAAGGGGCAATGTGCATCTCTCTCTCATACACTGTGCTTGACTGTCTCTCTCTGCCACGCTGTCTCCCCTCCCTCCATTCGTACTGCCTTGTAGAATGTGGGGCTACATTAACAACGTGTTAACCCTTGAGGACTCAGCCAAGATCATCATTTAGCAGCAAGGCATTCCCAGGGAAATATCCCACCCTCTTCCACACTCTGACTTTACCATCTCAACCAAGCTTCACAATCATCATTGCCGCGGACAGTATTAAATTGTTTATTTAAAATGTAGTGTGTGCGCGTGCGTGTGTGCGCACACACCTCTACCCCGATATAACGCTGTCCTTGGGAGCCAAAAAATCTTACCGCGTTATAGGTGAAACCGCGTTATATTGAACTTGCTTTGATCCGCCAGAGTGCGCAGCCCCCCCCCCAGCGCTACTTTACCGCGTTATATCCAAATTCATGTTATATCGGGTCGCGTTATATGGGGGTAGAGGTGTATATATAAAAATAAAATATCAGGGGATAGCCGTGTTAGTCTGTATCTACAAAAACAACAAGGAGCCTGCTGGCACCTTAAAGACTAACAGATTTATTTGGGCATAAGCTTTCGTGGGTAAAAACCTCACTTCTTCAGATGCATCAATAAAAAAATAAAATATAGGCTTGTTTGATGAAAAAAAATTTCCCTGGAACCTAACTCTCCCCGTTTACATTAGTTCTTATGGGGAAATTGGATTCGCTTAACATCGTTTCGCTTAAAGTAGCATTTTTCAGGAACATAACTACAACGTTAAACGAGTTACTGCACATCTAACACTACACGCTACTGACGACAGCACTTAGCTACACAAACTATGTGCCGCAGTGAAATGCTGGCTGCTTTCATCTGAACCTACATGGGTCAGTGAAAGGCTGGCTACGCGGAAGCATCAGGGAAAGGCTACAGCAGCAGCTCAAAATAGCAGCGTAGACACAGAGGCATGGCTTGGGTAAGTAGAAAGCAAGTAGGGCAGGGTACCTACTTCCACTCTTACCCACACCCTTCAGGCTTTATTTGCCTAAAAGCCACGCCTCACTGGGGGGAACAGGAGGAGGACTACTCTACCTGTCACCAAAAGAAATGTGCAGTGTAGACATTTATCTATACATGGGTGTATGTCAAACTGGCAATTCTCAACGTTTTTCTTGCTCTTGTGATATACTACACTGGGAGTGCTGTTTTGGTTGTTCACAGAACAGTACCCAAGGGTCATGCTTAGACATACATAGTGAATTTGTGGCATCTTAAAAGCAAATGTGAAATGCATCAATTTTGTACTGAAACGATGATTACACTCATGCAATGTAGTCTAACTTAGGCATTTCTTCAGCAGACTTCTTAATTGCACAGATTAAAATGACACTTTTGGCAGAGATTGGCTATAATGAAGTAAAAGACAAGATGGGTGAGGGAATATCTTTATTGGAGAAGAGCTCTGAGTGTGCTCAATAGCTTGTCTCTCTCACTAACAGAAGCTGGTCCAATAAAAGGTACTACCCTCACCCACTTTGTCTCTCTAATAACCTGGGATCAACACAGCTGCAACCCCACTGCATACATAAAGATCTTTATTATTTTAACTTAGAATCATAGAAGATTAGGGTTGGAAGAGATCTCAGGAGGTCATCTAGTCCAACCCCCTGCTCAAAGCAGGACCAACCCAAACTAAATCACTAAACTTTTTCACTCCTACAAAAATTCTTTTCCCTCCATGTATTATGTTTCAGGACCGGGGCATGTTCCTATTGCCTGAGACTTCTGGGTTCAGGTTCTACTTAGCGTCACCCAGATCACACACAATTAGAGTCTAATATTTACTGAAGCTTTGGGTGATATTCATCATCAAACTAATGTCAAGCTGAGAAGGTCCACCTGCAACCTTAATTGCTTGCAAGCTCAGTCACGATCCTCTGTGAGAAGCAGATTAGGAGCAGCATGGGAGGAAGATCTCTATATCAACAGATAACTGACAAGGCTGCAAGTGTTGCACAGGCAATGACTGAAATGTAAAACCAAAAGCCACTACACATATAAAGCCTCTCTCCTGAAGGCAGAATTTAAAAAAGGATGACTTAATTCATAAGGGAGATATAGCAATACAAGGGTAAATGTTTTTTTGGGTAAACCTGGAGGCACAGAGCATGTATTGAGCAGCACTCATACTCTTAACTACCAGTAAATGCCTTATAGATGCTTTCTTCTGAGAAACTAGGATTGACACAGGGCACAGAAAACAGACACACAATTTCATAAATATAAAGTCTAAGTGCACTTACACTCCAATTCCCTTTTCTAAACAGGACCTTTCACCTTTACCAAAAGGCAGGGAGGAAAGCAGTAATGTTTATGCAAACAGTATTTGTCGAGAAATATAAAAATACAAGCTTACAGATTTGCAGTTTAAGGCATGAAGGGATCATCATCAACAACTAGTCCAGGGGTTCTCAAACTTCATTGCACCGTGACTCCCTTCTGACAACAAAAATTATATGACTCCAGGAGCGGGGACCGAAGTCTGAGCCAGACTGACTCCTGCCACCCTGGGCGAGAGGGCCAAAGCCTGAGCCTCACTGCCTTGGGCGGGGGGAGTGTCTCGACCCACAGTTTGAGAATCACTGAACTAGTCTGATCTCCTGCATAGCACACACCACAGAATTCACCCAATAACTCCTGGCATCTTTTCCCATAGAAGACAAACAGAATGAATATTTGCATATGAGCAGATGTGCCAGCCTAGGAAATAGCAGCTGTTTCGACAAGCATTTGTTTATCTATACAAGCATTCAAAGACAGAAAACCTAGTGCTAAAGATTCGTCTCAGTTTGCAGTCTCAGCATGTATATTGCCATCTTCTAGTCTTGTATCAATCTGCTCTGATGCATTTGTCTAGCCTCTTTTCACACACAGATCAGCAAAGAAAGTCTCACAGGACAGACATCTTTTTCCTTCATACTAGATCTAAACTGAACCCGGTGGTCATGATGCTGACCACAAGTTTCTGCAACTGAAACAGTGCAAGTGCTACCCTTTAGGAGAGTTGGTTCACCACTCACCAGATGGCTCTTCTGGCTCGCTCTCATTCTCTTCTTCTGGAGGGGCCGGTGGTGGTGGTGGTGGTAGCTTTTTCTCTTTCTCAGCTTTAGCATTTCTCTCCTCCTCAGAGTAATATTCATCTTCAGAGAGGTTTGCAAGACTCTCATCCATCTCCCTGTACTCCACCTGCAAACAGCACAATCACAGAGTAATCAAGACCAAACAAGACAATGGATTTTACTACTAAAACAAAAAGAATGAGGAGTACTTGTGGCACCTTAGAGACTAACCAATTTATTTGGCATAAGCTCAGGAAAGCTTATGCCAAATAAATTTGTTAGTCTCTAAGGTGCCACAAGTACTCCTCATTCTTTTTGCTGATACAGACTAACACGGCTATCACTCTAAAACCTGACTACTAAAGCAGGCATTGGAAACAATGTTAAGAAACCACCCATAAAAATTCAGTTTAAAGTGGTGATCCTCTTAGTCTTCGATATTGCAAGAAGACAGTTTTGCAATAAAAATTTGCCAGCTTATGGGAGTTTAGAGCAGGACCACAGTAAAAGGACTAAAAGGTCTCATACCTGCTCCTATAGGATTGTGAATCCTTGAGAAAACCTCCTGGAAAGCTCCCAGAATGCCCACTAGAGAACATGTGATATTACCTGTTGATTCTTCTTTGAAAAAGGACTCCAAACAGGAATCCCTCTATTAGGGATTATGTTTTAGCACTACACAGGATGGAAACACTCTCAGGGCTTTTGATCCTCAGACAGAAGTAATTGAGTGCAAGTTTCATCACACACGTTCCAACCATCAGTATCTCAGATCCCTTTAGAACCTAACCCAAAAAGTTTCCTTGAAGCATGAAGCAATAGCTAGATCCAGGGCCGGCTCTAACTTTTTTGCTGCCCCAAGCAGCAAAAAAAAGTGCCGCTCCGCCAAGCGCCGCCGGAGGCCGCCCCTCCCCCAA